CTTTTTTATTTTGTTAAGACTATGTAAAATAACTTATATTATATATAAGATCTATATGATCAAACATTTTGTTAAACCTATATGACTAGACATTTTGTGGCTGGATAGCTTAATTTGTTAGAGCGTCAAACGAAAAGTAATAACCCGTTGTACATTACGAGTTCAAATCATGCACTTTTATTTCAGGTATAAAATACATGTGAGAAAGTCATCAAAGAGCATGACACAATAAGCATGTAAATTTCGCCCCCAGAAAATTACCTCTTATTATCAATATGTCGCTTTTTAACTAATTTTTTTACTAAATATTAACCGCAAAGACACAAAAGAAATTAAGAAAAAATTAAAAAAAAAAACTGATAATATTTGAGAAAAATATATTAAATAGTCCGACTAATCGTTCTTTTTTTGAAAAGTCGTTATTTTTTGTTGATTTTTATTGCCAAACGTTAATTAGCAAAAAACATGCTCGATATTTGTATTGAGTATGCTGTAATGTTCGTTTAAAACTAAAACAGTCTAGTGAAGTTACTTCTAATGAAAATATTTATAGTTTAAATGAAATCCGAAAAAAATAACTGGATTTATTAAGAAAAATGATAAAATCTCTAAGAAGCGCCAAAACGTATCACAACGAAATTTTTTTCGTACTCTTTCGCCTCACAAAAGCTGTCTTGTTTATGGAAAGAAAAACTAGAAGTTTTTCTTTTCACAAACAAGTTTTTAAAACAAGTTTTTAAAACAAGTTTTTAAAACAAGTTTTTAAAACAAGTTTTTAAAACAAGTTTTTCTTTCCATAAATTTTTCTCAACTTTTTGTAAAAAAGTTGAGATAAATTTCTAATGAAGCGGTTGTTGACGTCTAATTATAAAAAAATTTATTGATTCCACCTGGTTCGAGGTGTTGCAGCATTATTTATTTTATTTGTTTTTTTTTTTCTTCTCCAGGTATACCATATAAAATATACATTTATTATCGTGATAGCATTAATCTATGATCTATATCGTGATAGCATTCATCTATGTCAAATTTTAAACCTATTAATCAATCAAAATAAGGAGATGTTATCAATTTGTAAAGTTAATATAAAACTTAAAAATAAGGATGTTAAAAATCTTTTCGAAACAATTCGTAATTCTGTACTTCAAAAATTGCTTTTTTACCATTTCATGGATAAAACAACTTTGATTGTGTATAAATGTCTCAGAATAAGTGGATTTACAAGAGATCAATTTATTGAAAAAAGCGAATTACTTGATACAATGAGAAATTCAATCCAGCCCTCTAAAACCCAGGCTTTGGCAATATATCTATTTTGGCTCAAAACTGGGTTGGATCATTTGACAATATCAATGTTTTTTAAATTGGAACCTGATTTTGATATAAGTTGGTTACTTCAGCAAGTTAGAGAGTCACTTACCTTTGATTTTGTTCCAAATAATCTAAACGTGAAGCATATCCAAAGAATTAAATTATTAAAAAACAATAGCCTTATTGCTAAAAAGATTTTTCAATCAAATAATGATCAATTGGTATTAATAGCAGATGGAACTTACTGATATTGTCAAAAGAGTAGCAATAACATTTTTCAGCGTAAAACATACAGTGTGCAAAAAAAAATTACACTTGGTAAAGCCATTCATGATATGTACTTCTAACGGATATATCTTAGATGTTTATGGCCTTTTCGAAACAACTAAAAATGATGCGACGATGTCAAGTGAGAATTTAATCAAGGACCAAAACTAGTGTTCTTTAATTTGACCAAAAGACGTCATTATATTGGATCGTGGATTCCGTGATTGTATTGAGGAGCTTAAGAAAGATTATAAACTTGATCCAAAAATGCCAGCTTGTCTTTTTTTAAAATATCAGAAACAGTTAACAACTTTGGTAGCGAATCAATCACGATTTGTTACAAAGACTCGATGGTTAATCAAAGTTTTCAATGGCTTTCTTAAGCAATCGTTTTGAGCCTTGGATAAAGTTTGCAACATTAGCCTCGTTCATAGACTTGATGATTGCTGCCGCATTGATTAATAAATATTTTAGAAGATTACTCTCCGATAATGACAACAAAGTAAAAATCATAAGAACTACGAAAGAGAACCTTAATATAGAGAATTTACTTGAAACTATTTTAAAGAAAAGAAGAAAAAATGCCTATACTAAAAAAAGAAGAAAAAATGCCTATACACCGAAAAAATGCCTATACTAAATTGGAATCCTAAGATATTAAAGATTTTAACCCTGACCCTTACCTCTAACCCCTAACCCCCTAACTCCAACCCTGACGGTACTTGATCAAAGCACAATACAAACCTATACAACTATAGGTTCCTATTAGCTTAGACAAAGCTTGAATTATACATCTTAACAAAGTAAAATACGAGTTAAGACTTAATGGAACAATCAATTTAACTCAACGTTCTAAAAAAATAAAAATTGGTGTCTGATCTAGACACAGTAAAATTACTAAATACATGGTATACATTAAGTATTTACCCAATATTAATGATCAATTCAGCATCGGTTCTTGGTATTGTATCTGTAAAACAGGAATGCGTACTGTCGGTTGCTTTAGTCACATTGCAAGCATTTTTTTTATTTCTTTCAAGCGACGGTAAAAGAATCAAAGAATTCAAAGGTCCAGTTGGTTCGATATAATCATTTTTTAAATGTTGGCTGTATTGGAGACGAGTGACGATGAGAATGAAAATAATGAACAAGTCTACAAAAAGAAAACTAAAAATAAAAAAAATAATAAAAAGTCACTAAGTAAAGCTTGGTTGAGTGAGTCAGAAATAGATAAAGCTCAAAACTCTGACAAGAAGAATACTTTAAAAAATGATTCATTACAGATGTCATCACCAAAGAAATTCAAACTTTTTCAATCACCTAATAAAAACAAAAAACTAGAACGGTTTTCCTCAAAAGTGTTTAAATGGGGATCTTATTTTCTAATTCAACAAAACTTATTATTAATAATACTCGTACAATATTGTTTTCTTTTATTTCTTTGGACATCAGTTCAAAAAAGTCCTTTAAAAAAGTCTTTATATGATATAATTCAGCTAATAGATAAAGATGAATGGGATGAAGCCAAAACTAATTGAGTAGTCGAAATCTGTATAGTTTTTCCAACTACATGTATCGATGGAAGTTCTTAAATAGATTTTTTTGAATTTAAACTACTCAAAAGAGACTTAAAAAAGACATTTTTTTAATTGGGATTTTAACGGTGTTGTTCTAAACATGCTAAAGGAAATACTATGCTCGAATTGTGGTAGCATTATGACTAATAAAAACTGCATTTTTGAGAAACCTTTTATTTTATTCGTAGAAACAGCTCATCAATCAATTTTTACAGTTGATGATCTCCTTTTTCGACGACGACGAGCTTTTTTTAAAGAACAGAATAACCTATCGTATTATTGTTTTTACTCTTTGATGTAATATATATTGACAAAAACGCATAAGTTATGATAATAAATAGAGGTGACTTTCAGACTGTTTTTTAGGAATGTTGCCAACAGAGATCTTAATATTTTTTTTTTATTAATAACCAGCGTCTCTTAATTATTAAGAAACTATTTAAAAGTTTTAGGATCTCGCTCGGCGTTAGGGGGGCCGGAGAGGATGTCATATTACGTCATGTTCTTTACTGTCTTTTATTTTGTTAAGATAAACTCAACACCCGGTGGGAACTGGACCATAAAAAGCCGTCTTTTGAACGTTCAAAAGACGTCCAAAACGTTCAAAAGACGTTTAAAAGACGTCCAAATTGTGTATAAGACGTTTAAATTGTGTATAAGACGTCTTTTTTTACGTCCGTGTCCACTGTGCAAATGCTCTGAAATTCATTAAAAGGTGTAAAAAGATTTTTACACTTTTCGATGAAATTGATAATAATAAATTTTTATTTTCTCATTTAACTTTTATTTTAAAGTTAAAAAAAGTTTTTTTTAACTTTAAAATAAAAATTTCTTGTTTTATTGAAATGTACGAATTATTACTAAAAAATCAAACTTTAAAATATCCTAATAAACTATCATCGGTTATAAAGCAAGCAAAGTTACATATTCTTACAAGGTTATTCATTCTTATATGTGCGTCTATATATTTTTATATCCGTGTCTATTTATCTTTATATGTATGTTTATTTATTCTTATTTTTATATGCGTGTTTATTCATTCTAAAATATGCGTTTATATGCGAGTCAACTACCCATAAAACCTCTATTATAATTATATATATATATATATATATATATATATATATATATATATATATATATATATATATATATATATATATATATATATATATATATATATATATATATATATATATATATATATATATATATATATATATATATATATATATATATATATATATATATATATATATATATATATATGTATATATATATATATATATATATATATATATATATATATATATATATATATATATATATATGTATATATATATATATGTATATATATATATTTAAAACATAAATTAGTTTGTTGCCACTGGCATTTATTTAAAAAAATGGTTGCTGAGTTTCTGGGTTGCCACACACATTAAAATATTACTTAACTACACCTTAATTACTAAGCACCTCCAAAATTACAAGACACCTCCAAAAATATTAGGTAAACAAGCACATCTAAAAATATTCCCGAGTATCCGCCACATCGGATACTCGGGAATATAATTCGTTAATCAGAATCGATTATCGATTACAGTATATGAATCGGTGAATGTTAAAAGAGTGGAAGTCACATTTTTCAAAATTAACTTTTTTACAAATTTGTATATTTAAAGGATAGTTCCATCGTTTTGTGTTAAAAAGATATCTGTCAAAAGTTTTTTCTAGCCTGTACAGTCTAAAAGTTTTGGTTTTTAGTTCAAAGGGACTTTAGCCCTTTTAACATAAAACAAGAGACTTTGCGCTGAAGACAGCGGACCAAACGTAACCTCTGTTGTTTTGATTGTACAACAGCGTAGTAAATAAAGTTGGTTTATTACGTTTGATCATTTTAATAGTGATTTAAGTTGATTAACTTCTTTTTTAAATGGGTGATAGTGGTAGTGACTCTGATTATACAAGTTATAAAAGTAAAAAAAAAAACAAAAAAAAAAAACCAGATGATTATAAAAGGAACAAGATTACGATATCTAGGCTTACTGATGTGGCATATGAAAACCCCAGGGGACAAAAAGTTGATGCAAAGTCTATCGGAGATCCATGCAGGTAAAAGGTAATACACAGTAATTCTTAATTTAATAATAGTTATATTCCAAATTGTAATAATTTGTCTAAAATTTGGTCAGATTTAGGCTCTGTAATTTATAGTTGGCCTTTTGAACTAGGTTAGCCATTCCAGGCGATTTTTTTATAATTTAAATACTCAAATATAATTGATGTTATTGTATAGAGCTTAGTTTGAATTAAAAAACGAGGGGTCATTCGGCCTTTGAAGTTAAGCGGATCAAAAGTTATTGAACTTTTTGTAGGGGTGATTTTTTGACAAAAGGGCTTAAGTATGGAAAGTTTGCTGCAAAATAGCACCGAAAATGAGAGTATTATTGATATTTGAATAACTTTTGAACCGATAATACATTTGATTTGAAATTTTCCATAGTGACCAACCAACTATAAGAAAATATTATTCCTAAATATTTTTTAAAGAATTTGTTGGGATTGACCAGAATCATCTATTTTACAGACCCAGGGTTTTTTTAATTTATATATTTTTGGGGTCATACTAACTTTTGAATTGTTATTACATTTGATTTGAAATTTTTTATAGTGATCCATCAACTATAAGAAAATAAAAAACCAAATTTTTTTTAAAAATCTGAAGGGATCTTCCAAAATGACCTATTTTACAGACTGAGAGTTTTTACTAATTTATATATTTTTGGGGTCACTCTGACTTTTGAATAACTTTTGAATCATTATTACTTTTGACTGAAATTTTTCATAGTAATCATTATTACTTTTGACTGAAATTTTTCATAGTGAACAACTATAAGATAATAAAATACCAAAATTTTATTTCAAAAAATTTGTCACCACTGTCCGAAATCATCTATTTTACAGCCTGAATGGTTTTATACTATTTTCTTATTTTTGGAGAATAAAATTTGGGGTCATATTATAATCGTACCATAAGAATATGCATAAAGGAATCATGGAATCCAAAAAATACATCATTTGAAAACTATTGTGTAATTTACAGATTGGTCAGTGAAATAATCACATTAATTACTGTTCGGTCAGTATATTGCTGAAAATGGGCTGTTCAAACAAATTAATAATTTTAACTAGTTTAAATAACTTTCAATAGTTTGTAATTTTTTAAAAATTTTTGATATTTAAGCACGGTTATTGCATTTGACTTGAAATTTTAAATAGTGATCCAGTTTTTATCAACTCTGTCGGGATTATCCAGAATCCGTATATTTTACAGACTGAAGGGTTTCCACTTATTCAATTGTGTCATGAAGAAAAAAAATCAGGGTTGCGCCTTGCCAACATGCACAGAGGTATAATGGAATCCAAAAAATACATCATTTGAAAACTATTGCATAATTTACAGACCTGTCAGTAAAATCATTGCATAAATTACAGACCGGTCATTAAATTACAGAAAAAGGGATGTACAAATTAATTAGGCATATTAACCTTATATATATTTGATATTTTTGAACCCTTATTACATTTGACTTGAAATTTTAAGTAGCGATCTAGTTTTTATTGAATCTGTTGGGATCATACGTTTATTTTACAGACTAAAGTGTTTTTACTTATTTAATTATGTAATGAACAACAAAAATTACGGTTACAATATGCAAATATGCATAAAGGAAGCATGGAATCTAAAAAATACATCATTTTGAAATTTTTACATAATTTACAGAACGGTCAGTAAATTACTGCAAAAGAATTGCACAAACCTATTGGGCAATTTGACTTTGATTATTTTTGATAATTTCCTACTGTTACAAAACTATAAGAAAAATAAATGCCATAATTTTGCATCTGTCAAATATATCCAGAATTGTTAATTTTACATACTAAAGTGTTTTTACTTATTTACCTAGTCTTTTAGAAAAAAATTTGGGTTATATTATAAAAACTCTATGCAAATATGCATAAAGGATTGTGGAATCCAATTAATTCATATTTTTAAAACTATTGCTTAATTTACAAACCAATTAGTAAATCACTGCATAAGGGTATTGAAATCTATCTAAATCATTCAGAATTACCTATTTCTGAATGATTTTGACTAGACAGAAAATTCTTTAATAAAGTTAAAGTTTAAATTTGAATGAAAATAACATACAGCAAAAGAACTTGCTGAAATTTTGAGTACTTATAACAGCTATAGCAGGTGTAACAGCAGAAACTCAACCTAAAATTGTAATAAAATTATTATTAAAAACACAGATACATAATTTTAAAAAAATATTTGTTAATTTGTTTTAAAAATTAAAAGTTAAAAAAAATTATAAATTAACAATTAAAACTAAATAAATATAAAATAAGAAACTTACTTTTTGAGATTACTTGTTTATGTGAACTATTGACAATACCTAAGATAACATTAAAACAAAAAATGTTGTTATTCTAAAACTTATCTCTTGGCTTTTAGTGAAGGATTAGAGGTAGAGAGTTTCAGTAACGAAACAACCTAATAATAATTTTTAACGATAGACACCAGCGGAAGGTGCGCCTAGTTGTCTATCAACATAAAACATCACAACAATAACATCACAATCACAAAACACACAGAACCTGTGGCACTAAAAGCTTCAAATTCATGCTAGTGTCAATACTTAACTAACAAGGTTAACTTCTATCTTCAGTCTTTTACCGTTTCTAACCAACATTATTGATCATCCTGAAAAACTCACAGGTGGCTATATTTGTTGATGACATAAGAAAGTCATAAGAAAGTATGGGTTTCAATCATCTGGTTTAGGACCTGTTAACTGTTGTTACAGAAAGGTTTGAAATTATCATTAGATAGAGACCGTGAGGCACATTCTAGTGCTCTGGATGATATGGTGTATCTGGCAAAGTCTTTAAAAAGTCTTTGCAATCTTGTTGGTATTACTATATTAATGAATGGCAACATTGTTACTGTGGCTTCTACTATACATCATCTCTGATTATCTTTTTGTACTGACTTCTCATGGAAACCTTATATACAAATCATTGCAAAGTTAGTATTTGTATACAATAATAAAGTATTTTATTCTTATTTGTCTGTTTTTTTTTTCTCCCACATCAGTGCTTTGGAATTCGCTTCCTTCTTCTTGTTTTCCTAATTCATATTTTTTGCATTCTTTTAAGTCATCTGTTAATCGTTATCTTGCTTTATAATCTTCATCTTGGGTCTTTTAGTAACTTCTAACTCTAAAAGTGGTTGCTTCCAGACTTGTTGGAAATACAGATACTTAAAAAAAAGGATTGTAAGATTAACCAGTTGTTGCATATAAATTTATATAAATTGAAAAAAGAACTTGATTTGGCTAGAAAGCATTTCCAATCAGATCAACAAAAAGCATGGTATTTAAAGAATAAATTTTAAAAGCTCTGTTTTCTATCTATTCTATCTTAAAGGAGAGTTTGAATTACTTTGAAAATCTTACAGAAGAGCTAAAGGAAAGAGTTGACGATTTTAAAAACAATTTAATTGATGTTTTTGAAGGAGGTAGATATAATGAGGAAATTCGCTGTCTATGACGACTCTTAAGGAGAAATGTTTCTGTCAATAATGTTAAATCTGTTATTAGAACTGTACTACAAAAAAAATGGATTTGCTGCTCATTTTCAGTTATAATCCAGAGTCAGTTAAGAGACTCTTTTTTCTTTAAATGCCATGCTTTTTGTCAATCTGATTGGGAACGCTTTCTAGCTAAATCAAGTTCTTTTTCCATTTTCCAATTTATTTGCAATAATTTGATAATCTTACAACTCTTTCTAACTTCCCTTTGTTGACATTTCTGACATAATATTTTGACAAGATTGCTTGATATTTTCTTACTTATTTTCTTACTTATTTTATATTCTTTGCATCTTCTATTAATTTGTCTATTTTATAATTTGATTAGTTCTCCTTTTTTATTTTTTTATTTGATAGGTCAAATCACAAGAAAATATAGATAGTTTTTTTATCCAAAATGGAAACTGGAAGATTATTTTCTTCAACTTGCATTTCAATTATTAAAATTTTCAGAACCATTACCTAAAGGAATGTATTCAATAGAAGTAGGGGTAACAGAGCACGATTAAATCATCATTAGCAATTTGCAAGTTTAAATTAGATGATACAAAAATAGTAACTTGATTTGGACCAATTTCACTATTGTGGGTAGAAATAGGGGTAGAACAACCATTAGAAGGTGACAAACGAACAACATCAGAAAAAGCATCATTAAAAGATCAAACAGTTTAAAAAATCTTTTATTAAGTCAAAATTATTTTCTTGATTTAATTTTGCAACATAATCTTTAAACTTTTTTAAGTACTTTATTAGCATCACTCTAGAGATATTGTATTTACAGTGGGTTGTAAAAATTAATGAAAGATTTTGCCAAGTTAAGTTATATTTATCTTTTTCTTTGCATATTTTTAAAAAGTGGCCATAAGTGAACATAAAATCAAGATATTTGACAGAAATAATATCATTATTTATATTTAAAAAATCCAAAATTTTCTTGTAGGGTGCTGTTTCTGACAACATTTTGGTAGCTAAAGTAATACTAAACTTAATTTAAGTGATAATAACAAAGATAATTTAAATTATCATTAGAGTTCATAGGTTTTTTTACTAAAACAATATAAAGAATAAAAAATTTAATTGAAAAAAACATAACTTTCTTACACATTTCTATTTAGTAAACTTTAGTTTATTAATACTTCCAGGTTTTGTTTTGAAAAAAGTTTAAAGAATCTGTAGTACAGACTGCAGTAAAAGTAGTAAAAATCAAGCTTGTAGTCACCTTTAAAAAATAAAACAAAAAATTTTTTGCCTTGAAAACTGAAGTATTTAATAAAGAATTATACTTTCATTTTAAATTTTATTTGAAGTTAAAATTACAGAAATGCAAAATCAAAACAAAAAAGTTATAAAATACGCTAAAGAATATTGATATATAGATATATATACACATAATTTCTATATACAAATCCTTTGTATCTATTCCTCAAGAAAATATAAATAAATATTTGTTTTAAAAAGAGGAAAAGCTAAACTTGCCATTTCCACCTGGACACTTTTAAAAAACTTTTTTTTTTCTTTATAAAAAAACCTTGAACTTTTGAAACGCTGAGAACTACAAATTTTTGTATAAAAGTTAAAAAGTTTCCACATTCCATTAGATTCCTCATCCCTTTTTAATATAAATGGAAAGTTTTATAAAAATTGGATATGATTTGGTACTAAGGAATCCTTACACTGACAGCTTTTTTAAAAGAAGCTTTAAAAAAAGCTTTTTTATCAAAAGTGGTCTCAGGATATTGATAATATTTTAGTGAAGCCAAATAAAGCATAGTACTTTCTATATATGTCTGGAAAGAGGTTGAGTAAAACTAATTGATACAAAATTGCTTTATCCTACAAAAAGGTATAAGAGAGTAAAGTTTATGAAAATTTGGTGTTTTTAGTCAAACGTCAAATTTTTTTTGTTGTAAATATTTGTAGGCCAAAGACAATAGAATGATATTTTTAGGGTAGTCTAGAATTACTTATTGTATTTTAACTTAAACTCTATTTTATTTCTTAGACTAGGCTACCTATAATTTTTTATATAAAGTAAAATTACAGCATAGTGTGTTGTTTAAGAAAGTGTTTTGAATCTATTTGCAAACCTCAATTATGCATTTATAAACTTCTACAGCCAGTTCAATACAAAAGATGAGCAGGATTTATTTTTATACGGCTTGATCTTACGGACATTGTAAAGGAAGAGGCCTGGTTCAAGAGATAGCAAGGAAAAAGTTGTGATGCCAATGAAGATACTTTACGAAAAAGAAAAATAACTGTGGAAACAAAAAGGAATTTATGTATCATGTTTTAATCAGAAATGAACGAGTACAGGTTTGTGTTTTGGCATTTTTATCTATACTTTCTGTGTCAGAAAAAAAAGGTTCAAAGAGTTAGGGGTTTAAACATGGGTGAAAAAGCAGAGGAATGCATTCCTCTGCTTTTCCATCCAAAATAACTATTCTACTATGGTGGAAAGGAGAGGTATTTTTGGAGGAAGATTTGAACATGAAATTAATGTATGAACTATTCATGAAAAAAAATGAAGGGGTAAAGCTTAGTTACAATTCCTATTATAACTACTACAATGAGCACTTTCATTATTGTTTCAGGCAACATCAAGTAGAAACCTGTTGCATATGTGAAGAGTTAAAGCAAAAGACAAAATCACCTCACCTTAATGAAGTTGCTAAGCAAACAGCAGTAACTGAGTTGGTAGTACTTAACAGACACTCAAAAAAATTTTACCAAGCCATGAAACAAAATGTAGAGGACACTAGGGAAGAAAAAAATGTAAATGTTCTGTCCCTAGCTGTAGATATATGCAAAACATATCACTGCCCAAAATACCCATGCAAGAGTTGTTTTACTTGAGGCAGTTAACGGTTAATTTATTTTCTATTCATGATGTTAAGAGAAACATTGCAGCACTCTACCTTTATCTAGAGGGGCAGGCTATAAAGTCTCCAAATGAAACTTGCTCCTTTCTTTTGCAACACCTGTCTACCTGTCCTCAAGAGTATGATGAACTGAACTTTGATGCCAAAAATTGTAGGGGGAAAAATAAAAACCATTGTTTTTCAAAACGTTTTATGGCGCTTACTGACAATAAGTGGATTAAAAAGGTTGATCAATTTTTCCCAATCAGAGGGCACAGTTATTTGCCCTGTGATCGTGACTTTTCTATTATAAAAAAATAATTAATAAGGCATGACAAAGTACACAGCGTTCAAGAAATAAAAAAATTATATTAAAATGTAGTAATCAAAAAAAGTTTATTGTGGTTGATGTAGAGAGTTCATCTCTAGTTTACAATGTTAAAAGTTGGCGACCAGTTCACTATAAAGGAAACATTACCTCAATCGAAACAATGGATAAACTCAGAAACTAACAAACTCAATTTGCAATAAGCAAATTTCACCATTTTCAATACAATTGTGTATCAATGTAAAGCCAGTGAAATTATCAATGGTATTGTCAAACATACCTTTATGATGGGAAAACAAACTCAAAAAAAAAGTAAACCTGCCAGAACAGCTTCCTTACCCAAACAGAAAGGTTCCAATGAAATTTGCTAAATTGAATGACTTAAGAAAGTGTATTAAGTATATACCACATGACCATATTAACTTTTATAATGAACTACTGCAATCGCCTACAGCAGAAAGTAAGGATTGAGAAGCAGAAGATGTTGGGGAAAATGGTTAAGCATAGCTCTGTAAATGACCTTTTTTTCCTCATAATTTTTGTTATAATGTATAAACAACTCATAAATATATACTTTGTAAAGATTTATTGCAGTTTTTGATTAAGCTTGACATTTTATTCTAATTAACCCTCTCCACTTTTTCTATTGTAGCATCTGCACCTTACTTTTAACAACCTTATAATCTTATAATATTAAAACCAACCTTAAAACCTTATAACAAAGATAATCTTATAACAATTGATGGACATCTATATCATTATTGTCCTTTGCTATTCTTTTCAATAATCTTTTAAATTAGCGGTGGACATAATTCCAATAGGCTATAACAACAATTTAAAAGATTATTGGACGCCAATTTAAAAGGTTATTGAAACCAATTTGAAGGATTATTTAATAGGTTATGACAACAAGTCTTGCAAATAAAGTGGAGAATTTTTTTATTGAACATAAGAAATAAATTTTTTATTGGAGAGCTGTGAAAATAAACTATTTCTACCGCTCTTCAAAACACAAGAGTAATATCTAATCGTATGTGATGATCTTCATCAGTTCTTTAGTGACCTTATTCAAAATATGAAAAATAATTTTGGTATAACAAAATAACTTGGTAGCATAGCAATGTTATAGCTATGTTACAGTTAAAGCTTCTGCCATAGATTCCTTTTTTTGGATTTAATTACCCTATCTAGAGCTTCAATTATACTTCAAAAATATTTTATAACAGCGCTAATTATATTTGAATATTAATAACCAATGATAAGAGTGGTCTAAATCATTTTTTTACCATCTCCATGTAACCTTTTTAAAAAAAAAGTAAAAAAAAAGTTGTAAAGCTGTTGCATAATTAAATTTTTTGAAGATTTTTAGTACAATTTTAAAAAAGTTAAAAAGCATTAATATCTGTGCTGAATATTGTCTTTCTTGCCATAAAATGTAGACAATGTTCCATGGTTAGTTTTGAAATGACTCACATTGGTTCCAGCCAGCAAAAAGTTCTGCTCTAAGATAGTTACTTGCACATGTTTATTAAGAGTTTTATTTTTGTACTGAATAATTTATACTAATTCTTCCACATTACACTGAGCCTCACTTGCACTGTCATTACTTGTGATGTTTAGGTATGTTAGTAGAAAAAGCACATAATTCTTTTCACTGTGATTAATATTTTAAACTTTTTTTTTTTTTAAAGTTTTTAATGATATTTTTAATTATTAGAAAGTCATTAGTATAAAAATGCTTAAGAATTTTGTCACTGAAATTTTTTAATAATATCATTTCAGTTATACATGGTAGTTTTTTAGTTGTTAATACATATTATATAATACAATTTTCTTGTTGAGTGTATAATTTTGATATAAAAAAGTTGTTTATAGTATTATTCTTTAAGGTTGTCATTTAGGGGTTTAAAGAATTTTTTAAATATTTTTATTTATTTATTAAATATTAAATAAAACTTATTTATATTTTAAATAAAAAAGTTCACTTCTTTTATTTAATATATAAATAATCTGAGCACACCTGTTAAATACCACACAACATATCATTTTGAATAATATGTAAATTCTCTACTATTTGGGTGTGTCCAAATATAATAGGACTATACTGTGTCATAAAGTAACCTAAATGATATTTCATTTTAAAATATAGTATTGATTAAAAAGTCTATATTTAGTTGAATTTTGTTAGGAACAGTCCAGGGAGATATGTTAAATTTTAGTATTGCATTGTAAGATATTTCCACAGTGTTTGACATTCACACTATATAATTTTTATTTTTAATTTTATTTACATAATATTTTTTATAAAATAGCTAATACAGAATGTCCAACTGATTGCACATGCTCTAATGGCAATGGCACAATAAAACGTTTTTGTTCTTTTGGATTTTATTTCAATGCAACATCAGGTGCTTGTCAAGGTAAGTTAATAATATTAAATAATATTTTTATTTCTATTTTTTAAATATCTTTAGCCTGAGACAGAAAATTTAAATATATTTTTTTGTATATAGATATCAATGAGTGCTTGATAAACTGCAAATATGATCAATCTATCTGTACAAATTATATTGGTTCATTTAACTGTTCCTGTCCCAAAGGATCAGTTTATAATTTACTTGTTCAGGATTGTGTAGGTAATTGTATTATAAGTATAATGAAACAATCAAAGTTTAAATGAATTTTTTTATGAAAATTCTTTATCTATCACTATATATGCATGTGACTATAATGCCTCAGTGTACTATTATATTGGATTGTTCTAAATTAGTCATTATGCTAAACATTTTTCCCGCTAGACTGGAATAAATCTGTAGTTGAAATCATTGAGAACATTAAAGTCATTATTGTTAAATGTAAGGTACAACTGAGGTTGTATAAATTGTTAGTTTAAAATTTCAGGTAAAACAAGGATTAAATATATTGTAATTTAAAAACATAAGATTTAATTAAGAATACACAAATTAAAACTGTAAAGACAATACATGTAATTTGAAAAACATAAAACATATTTGTGTAAATTAGTGTAATAATAACAATATTTTTTGAAAATCTATTATCTATGACTTTTATGTTTTGTATTCTGGTTTTACAAATGTGTGGTTAGGATGGGTTTCCGAAACGCTATTTTCTTATTTAAACATTACAAATTACGGAAGAGTTGACACTAGTTGACAAATTACGGAAGAGTTGACACTATTTTTTTATTGCTACTGAATGCTTTTCTTGGCATTAATCTGTTTTATAGTTCAGGACTAGATTTTTTTGCGATATAACAGTTTTGAAGATTAATGTCTTAAGTTTTACAAGGGCTCCCACTCCCCTCCCATACCCATAATTAACTTAGAGATTTTATATCAGAGTTTTCTTCTCTTGAGTTTTCAGTATCATTTATATCACAGCTAAACTCATGGCTAGCCAAAATAAAATATAGCTCAATGTTATCATAACATTGTTATGATAACATTGTTATGTGAAACAATGTTATATGACAGAAACAGTTTAATCCAAAATATGAGTTCTGTTTCTGAGTTTTAATAATTTTATGACAAATACTAAGCACAGTTTAACATGAATTCATTTGTAATAAAATAGCATATTATTGCCTCAGGAATGAAATTTACTTTCTTTTCATATCCATAGAGAGTCACAACACAATTTATCAGAATATTTATTTATTTTTAAAGCTGTCTAATTTAAATTGTTCTAAAGCTGTATGAATTTAAATTGTTATATGGAATGCCAAATAGTATTAGAGTATGATAACAAATAGTATGAGAATAAATTAATTTAATAGTTTCTCTAAAAAAGATATGGCGATCAAATATTGTGTAATAGTTAAAAAATATGTTATGGGTTTGAATTGAAATTTTAACAATAATTATAAATATCATTGCACTGTTCAGTTCAAAAATTTCATATAGCAATATAAGCTGGAAGTAGTTAATTTATCTGATAAGATTTGAGATATAGACAATATAAACTTTAACTTAAGGGACTGTGTTCAACATGGTATGCAAGGAGTGATCAAGAATTGGCATAATCATAAACTATCCAACTTTTGCCAGCACAGAGAAACAGACATATAATAATAAAGTCTACTCTTAAAATTAAACTAAATTTATGTCCCTTTCTGAATAATATAAGAAATTATGAATCATTGAATTCATTCTAGGCTGCATATTTGGACTTGGCTTTGTTTTAGCAAAATTAATCTTGGTTTCATCTGTTTAATATGTAGTTTGTGGTATATGTATAAATAAACAAACAAACAAAAAAAAAAAAAAAAAGGAAAAGAAAAAAATAGAGTAATAATATGTGAAATAAAATTATAAAAATTAGGAATAAAATTAGAGTTTTTCATAAACAGGTAGTTTCAGAAAACCGCTGTTTTCTGTTTTCCATTTTCAAAAAACTTTTAACAGCTGTTTTCTGTTTTTCATGAAATTTATACCAAAGTAGTCCAATTTCTAGCATTATTTTTTATTAAAGTATTGAAAAAACTTGTTCAATGTCTGTGGACGTTGGTTTAGTTGTAAGGAGAGCCTTGTATAATTTTTGCAAACTTTCTGTTCTTTTTGCTGTAATAGCAAAAATTCCTGTTTTAGCCATTTGAACTCATTGTTGACTGTTAAAATAGATGTAACTTTTTCCTTTCTCAGCAATAACTCCAACTCTTCTTGAAGAGATATTGAAGCTGGACTAGTCTGATGACCTTCAGAATCACCAGAATCAGAAGTTTCTTCATCTCCTCTAAAACCAAAAATTGCCACTTTTCCAGTAAAGAGCAAAGTGTCTTTTGATGTAATATTTGTAGGATCTCTCAGTGATCTTAATAAGTTTATCACATTGTTATTCCATCTTTCACTCATTTGCTTATTGAGATTTTCATATAACTCCTTCCCAATGATGTTATTTAAATTTGAAAGTTTTTCTAGCATAAAGCCAATAACAGTATCATCTGTCAAAAGCATTGAATTTTCCCAAATCAGTGTCTCAACAGCAATTTCAATTGGCTCAATAGCAGTTTGCAACATCGACAAAGCATTAAAATCAACAAAGTGTCAGTTACTCCCAAGTGAATGCCATGATTAATGCAATACTGGTCAATAATCTTGACAATTTGCATATATTTCTTGTTGATTGCTGCCCCGTCTTGTGTTGATCCTACCAAATCTTTTTCAAATTCAATTGAATAAGTCTTTAAGTGATTTGATATTTTTTCAACCATTGCTTCAGCATTGCATGAACCGAAGAAGCGAACTAATCCTAGTTTGTATGTTTTATTTTCTTCACTAAAATGCAGATTTATTCTGAAAAAGCGGCGGCGGTGAACAGTTGTATACTTGTCAATGCTTATACTGAATTTTCTTCTCTTCACAATTTTTGAAACAAATTCTGAAACCATTTGGTTTTTTCTTGTTATTAAAATCAGCGTTGATAAGCTTCATTAGCCCGCTTTCATTTTTTGGAAGTTGATATCCGTCTTTTCTGATTGCATCAAAAATAAACTGATTTCTAGTGATAGCTCTAATGGATATTTCATCTATGACCATGTCAGAAACTATTTTAATAGAGCTCTTATGTTGAACAAGATCAAGCATTGTTTTAGGTTTCTTTTCTGCTACAACTTGTTCAGAAGGGATTTTTTCAGTTTGAGACCAATCAATTCCATGCTTCCATTTTAAGTGAGCCTTTAAGCTTGTGGTATA